ATTCTTAAATGAAATACAAAACAAGATCATTCTCAATGTTTGATCCTGACAACAAAACTAAATATGGAAGATTCAATTTTATATATTAGAATTGACAATATAAATATGAAAAAGGAAAATTCAGCAGTTTCAAACCTTTCAAAGAAATTTATCTACTGGTGCATTAACAAAATGTGCAATCACTTTTGACCCTCGAAAAAGGATACTGATGCTTGCTAAAAACCGTGGTTCTAGTAAAATTCAACATGAATATATACCTTCCTTCATTGAAATAATGTTTGCTTAAAATATAAGAAATTGCAAAGAATTTTCAAGCATAAACATAGATCACTAATACTGCAGTTTTTATTAACATTAAAGAACAGTGATAACACACCTGACATAAACACGTCTCATGTAGGTAATGGCAGTAGCAACAACCCTGTATATTAATCAACATAAAGGGATCGTCAAAACGATTATAAAAGTGGAAAAACAGATGTTTATTATGCACAAATCCACATAATGATTGGTGTCAGTACTTAAGAAATATGTTTAATCATAAAGTTAAATATAACAAATCTTGAAACACTTTGAATGTATTTTTCATACATTGTAGAAATACCAATTAGTTACAAACTAACACAGGCAAACTGTAGTGTTTACGCTACCATTTTGCATATACATGAATTCCAGGATGTAATGAATACATAACACAACAGTCTGAGACATTTATTTGAAGCACATCGTCCATCAGTATTACATTGAGACTTAAATGTGCAGCTATTTCACCTCTGATCAAGTGGAAGCACAACAAGATCAGGGTCTGAGATCTCCAGTATTCAATTATTTATGATGGCTTCCAATTGCAGGGTATAAAGATGACAGTAGAATTAATGGAGATCAAGCATTTTTGTAGACAAAACCTTGGATACCAGGAGTAAGAGAGGAGTGTAACCAAGAGAAAGATACTCTACTTCTGACAAAGAAATGTTGTAGACAAGAAGGAAAATCAAACCTTTGCCTCACTTTTACATTTTGAGCCAATCTTGCAATATCTGACAAAGAATTGAAAATGCAATAATTAATGCATGCAACAGAAGAATGAAAGAATTGCAAAAACCAATCAAGCGGGAAATCAGAGGTATATGTGTGTCTATATATTCCTGTCTATACCATATTTATATATCAATAATGTTAACACATCAACCAACACGATCATCAAATAGATCACTTGAAATCCACGAACATCTGACTTTTAAAATAAGGTAATTACGTCACAAATGATGAAGCGTTCGGTTACAAGAAAATGCAAGACAAAGAAAATCACATAAAAAATATTAGTTATTAATCTAAAATATGATTGAATATAGAAAGTTAGAAATCGTGCAAAAAATATATAGAATATAAATTTCCAAAAGGAGGCATCCAAGATCCCACAAATAATGTGAAGTTTTTTAAAGATTCATATTCAGAAAAAGCAAAACCCAAGAGAAACTCTAAAACCAACCCGTAAATATACGCATAAAGGGATTGAATAATAGAAGTTACAATTGGACATATGTAGCTTGATAAGCTTGAAATCTTCAAGAGTGATGCCCCTCTCCTTGTCTAGTGGATGCACCACATCCACCTCTTCTGGATCCAGAAGCTGTTTGCTAAATTGTCACAAAAACACAAAAACAAACAAACAAAATCATTCGTATAAATGAAGACAGGCTGCAACTTTCTCGATCCTATCGGAGAAAAGAATTTAGTCCTTTAAAATTCTAGGCCGGTAACTGAACGAATCGCTGGTGAAACAAGGGAAAATCCGTAGCTACCGAAAGCATCCAAATTTAAGAAGAGAAAGAAAACAGTTTTACAGTAATACTAAGGTTGAAACTTACTAGTGAGAAGAAGTCCAGAAATTAGCGGCCATGGCAGCACAGATGAAATCAACTTGATTACTGAGTTTACAAGTTTATTACCGAATCTTGAAAACGGCAAATTGTGCGGTTTTGTCGTGGGTGTACTCGGCAAATGGATGTGGCAGCACTTTCGAACTAAACTCGCATTTCTCAAGGAGTTTCTAACTAACGCTTTTAATACCACAAAATTCAAACGATTTTGCTCTACGTACTGATATACATGATGTGGTAAGAAGGTAAAATCCGGTCATGTTAAAAAGTATTTGAACACGTCTTAAATTTATTAAGCCATGATATAATTTTTTTTTTTTTTTTTTGGGAAAAATGAGTTTTTGAATCGTAATTTTTTGAAGCATGTGTAGTTAAAAAGTGCAAAAATATTTTGGATTTACTTTAAAAATATTTTATTGTAAGAATACGTGGTTAAAAATGAATGTTTATTCTTTAACGAATGGTTACCAAACAAGGGTAAGTCTCTGTTTAGACTCCATTTTTTAGAAAATATGTTTTTTCAAAACTCATTTTCAACCACACTATTCTCCAATAAAATAATATCACATAAATTAAAAAAAAAAAATCTTATTTTTAATCACATTTTCCAAAAAATCCCTACTCCAAAACTCATATTCTCCAAAATACATTTTAATGGAGTCCAAACAAGACTAAATATTGCTTTAAATGTCAACATTATCAAATTTCTCAAAATATTACATATATGAGAAGATTTTCATTTAATAGAAAGCTCGTTTTTCATTTACATTTTCTTTTATNTGTAGGAATTGTTACCCGCATTAAATATATCATGTATAGTGGGAACAGGGAAGACGGTTTTACAGTGTAATTGACTATTAATTGTTACAATGATTTAACCCTTTTGAAGTTCTAAATCTCATGTTTGCAATGGTCTATAAAAATAGGGATTATGCAAAAATTTCAATTTCATGATCTTCAAATTTCATTCAATCCTGATCTGGGATTTTATGGTTCTTATCAGTTAAGAGGGGATAAAAATCCTAAAGCTTTTGATGAACCAATTATTATCATTTTCTTCTTCCTCCAGACATATAGCTTAAAATGGGGCGTAATCCAGCGTGAAATATGGGACAAAAATAAATACGATGCTCAGGATGCCTCCTTTTTACAAGCCTATTCTTATTTTGAACATCGTTGGAGAGGACCGTACAGACCCACTATGGGTGCGTATAATTTGCCACTTCTACCACGTATTATAATACAACAGAACCTTGCTTCCTCATCCAGTTTAGCTGAAATTTCACAAAGAATTTACATTTGACTTGCTCGAAGCTAAAAGCCCATCTCCAACTGCAAATTACACACACCTTCGCCTGGAAGATTTGTATAACAAGGCACAAGGCCAACATTCCTGATTCCACTGCGGCTAACGGTCAATGAAGATTAATATGATAAATTAAGCATTAGCAGAGCAATTTCAAGAATATATTGCTTCTTTAAATCATACAAGTTTTTTGAAGTAATAGTTTAATCAATACAGAGAACTTATTCTTATGGAGAAATAATTTATGGTACCTCCAGACATAGGTTCTTTTATTTATTTTTCTTTACCTACCCCCAAGTAAAATGCAAAGAGAGTACTCCATTGCAATTGTAAAGATGATGACAAAGAATGAAACTTATAAAATGGATTTTGATGATGTTAATGATTCCCTTAAAGATAAAAATAGCAGTGATAATATAAGAATTTCTACTGCATTTCGAGGGGTTGGATACACAGCAAAAAGAACTTCAATTGCCATATGAACTCAAGAGACCATAAAGAAACCACATCAAAGTAGACTTCCATCAAATCGAATAAAGATTTGATAGGCTGAAGTAATTAAGTAACAGAAATGTACAAATGAAATATATTTTCTGATTGTGTACCCACTTGCCGAATTGCTTCCTTTGAGTCAATCTTGCCGCTGGATAAAATACAAGATTTTAACTATGTTTTCAAAATATCATATAGTATTCTGTATTGTGGTCTATCAAACATTCCACAGAAATCCAATACATCCATCCATTATTTTGCTAGCTTGCTCATGGCTGCATTAACTCTGTCATCTGTAATCAGTTTGTGGCTGTCGTAGAAATCCAATATCTCCATTGCAATGTTTTTTACCTGCAAAATAATAAAGAACGCTCCACAACTCCATAAACATTTGGTAGGTCGCATGGAGCTTTCCTTGCAACCATTCAGGTAATATGTTACAAATATACCAAAGTAATGCATCTAAATTGGTTCTTAAATTGCACATAACATGGTCAATGATGTTATTCTGGAGACAATATTCCTTAGACGGCAAAATTAATTACAGTAAGCCAACTTGAATTCCCCGATTTCAACAAAGACGAAATTTACTTGCAATCAGTGTGTATTCTTCAACGTAGGGAATGTAAAGGCAATGGGAGAAATATGGATGAACCGCTGACAAATGATCATTAGTTTTTTTTGGTGTTCTTTGTTATATAAATCAACTCCAGAAACTGATGATATGTTACTGCAAAAGTATTCCAAGAAATTATGGTTCATTAAGAACTAAAATTTGAAGATCTAGTGCTCGAGACCTTAAAAACTCGGCTTAGATGACTTACCACATTCATATCCACTCGAAGCTCTTCAAACCAGGCTGTATTTTCTTTATCCTTTAGCACACTAGCAATGTATATACAAGCCAATGTAATCAAGTGAGGAGGATGCAAAAGAATCAAATCCATCTTGTAAGTGTCATTGACAAGTCCCCTACAAGGTTCAAAATACCAGATTATGATCCATAACTTCCGATGATCTATATGACAATGATATTGAATAAAACACATGCAACAGAAATCGGATAGGAAGAAAGCCCAAAAAGTAGTAGTGAAAGAATCTGTTATTGGAAAGTAGAAAAATCAAAATGGAAATTGTTCAAGTGTCTAACGGATCATTATGAGATTATCAGATTATGTTAGGAGCATGTTTGACTAAGCTAGTAAAAGTTGCTTTCATACATTTCAGACGTGCTTTGTATTTTAGTTTCAAGCAAAATATGTTATTTTGAAAATAAGTCTCCCTTTACTTCAAAATAAGTAACTTACTTATTTCCAACTTTGATCAATGTAAAAATTATTTATTTGAAAACTTTTATTCTTAAAAGTTTTACTTGGTGAAGTTTTTCAGACAAACATGCTCCAATCCACAAGTCACTTCGCTTTCCTGCTTTGAGTACTACATAGGAGCGAAAACTATGATGATTATTTATACTTCTACATTAGCATACCTAGGGAATATAATAGACTCATCAGCTAGTTATCCATGTCTAAACTGGGAAGCAGAATTGAGATGAGTTTGTTACCAAGTTAATTGTGTTGCGTCATTCATCCCAGCATCCTGAAGCAACCTAATAATTGGAAGTTGCTGTTAGAAGGAAAAAATTGATGGGAAATTAAGAGAGATGCATCTCATAAACACCATCTAAAAGTAGCTCAATGGTGAGTATCAAGTGATTGGCATAAATCAAATTAAAGTATAATTAACATATATCATTGTTATGGTCGAAGTACGAGAATGCCCGTATTCTTTTGTAAAGCAAGTTATAAAATGGAAAGGTCAAAGAGGTGGAAATTTTGTTTGGAATCGGATTCTTACATTTACATATATATGTTATTTTAGCTAACGGAGAATGCAAGGCATAATATGAATGAGCAGTAACATGTTCACTCTGGAAAAAATTGAAATGAGTGTACCAACAAATCGACTTCTTTGTATATCATTTTTACTAAAAACAATGAAAAACATGAAACGGTCCCATTTCTTCAATAGCGTTATAGCAAACAATTCAATGTGATGATATACTTACTGGGACAGTGCACGGTAAGGATGGAAAACAACTAAATAATAGTTGAGGGCTTCCAAAATTTTCATTTCCATTTCGAGTATCTCCTTTATTTCAAACCTATACTTCTCATCGGAATCTGCCAAAGTAAAACGGCAGCTATAGCCACTTATCATGGAGCCCAGATAACTTATCGTATCAGAAGAAGAAAATGAAAGAAATTCATAGCAGATGATTTATAGAGGATAAAATATATGAGCAATTACATAGTTTCTTGATATAAAATACAAGAAGTCGGGCTTGCACTGTGCTTTCTTCTGCTTTTGATGCCAAGTATAAGCAAGACGGAGCGACCAGGCGAGGATCATATTCACTCATACTTCTTCTGAAAATAAGATAAAATTCTTAAATGAAATACAAAACAAGATCATTCTCAATGTTTGATCCTGACAACAAAACTAAATATGGAAGATTCAATTTTATA